AGACTGCATCCTCAGAGCCCCCTCTCCACCCCACTCTCAGCAGCAGCTGCCTGTCCAGCATGGGGAAACCATGTTCTTTGGTGGGAGATCTGTAGTATAAAGTACACACCAGACCAGTGGGAGTCTATATGTGTTTTGTTTTGTTTTGTTTTGTTTTTTTGTTTTTTGTTTTTTACGAGACAGGGTTTCTCTGTATTGTTTTGGAGGCTATCGGTCCAGCCCGATCTCGAACTCACAGAGATCCGCCTGCCTCTGCCTCCCGAGTGCTGGGATTAAAGGCGTGCGCCACCACCGCCCGGCTGGGAGTCTATATGTGAAGGACAGTGACTACGGTTAAATGACAGAGGCTCAGCTGACCTACGAACACCACAGGTGTCAACTCAGTGGCCATGGATGTAGGTTTTGGCTTTCAATAACTAACTAGTCATTATCATACAGGGACCATCCTGGAGCCTGGGCATGGAGATGGTGTGAGATTTAGAGACGTGCTCATATGATGTAAGTGTGAAGCCTGAAAAAGGCTATGAAAACCAAGTACAACACACGTCTGCCACAGAGGAGAATAAGAGCAGCAATTCTTGGCCCTGACCTGGCCCTGGTTGGCAGAACGTCACTCAAGGCCACCTGGCTGCTGCAGCTGTCCACACCATCAGCCCAGATTGGGCTCTACCAGCAGAATAGAGTATCTAGATTTGAGAGTGGGCTGTCCTGCCACTCTGCCTGTCCTGGTCAGACGACACTGAATAGCATTCCATAGTAGACCCAGCATTTCACAAAGGATGCTGAGAAACTGGCACATATCCAGAGAAGGAGGGGCAGGAGGCATGTCCTGCCAAGCCTTGCTGGAGAACTGGGCGTGTGGACACTGGGCGGAGGCATAGAGGCCTGGACAGATGGTTTATAGCTCGGTTGCCTCACTGGGGTTTGTGGTGCCAGACAGGAGGCAACCGACCACATAGCCTTGTGACAGCAAATCTGTATGCTAGTCTTTAAAATAACTTCTTGAATTGTTTCCCACTCATCGCCCCTCTCCAGCTGAGACATTTCTACATGACCGCGGGAATATACGCTTATAAAACAGGTATACAAAATAAACAGTTATGAATAATAAATGGCAACTTTGTTTTAAAACAATCCATTGCATATATCATCTTATCATCTATTAAAGAGAAAAGCAAATTTGGGTACACCTGAGAGAAATGTGCTCCTAACTTACTCCTTTCCTGAGGTATACGGATTTGATACCTCCACGTGGTCCTCGTCTCATTTCTGTGGCAGTGACAAAAAAAATATCCTGACAAAAACTAACTCAAGGAAGGCTGAGGTGTGTCTCAGTGGTAGAACTCTTTTTGGAGCATTCCTGGGGCACAGATTTCGCTTCCCAACATTATAAAAACAAAACACAACTCAAAAGGAAAGGCGCCTATTTCAGCTCATAATACCAGGTTACAGTTTTCCATAGCAGAAAAGTCATCTTCAGTCAAGAGCAGAGCAGAATGGATGCATAATGCATGAATGCTTTTAGTACTTGGCTGGCTCTCTCTCTATCCCTATCAGTTCAGGACCTAGGGGATGGTACCTCCCACAGCGGGCTAGGTTTTCCCATATCAACTAGTGCAGTCAAGACAGCCCCCAATAGACATACCTGCAGGTCAGCCTGAACTAAACAATCCCTTGTACAGACTCTTCCCAATTGATTCTAGATTTGTGTCCAGCTGATGAAACTAACCATCATACCTCCTGATGAACGATGGCAGGAAAATGTTAAGAGATGTTGTTTTTCATAATGAAACCATTATGTTTCCATGAAAGCCCACATCTTTGTATGCACGGTAAAAACTCATCATACGGTCTCCTGAAATCTGAAATAATGTGTTTCAGGTAGTGTTGGGTAGTATGATGGCCTGTGTAGTGCAAAGTGTGTATGTTGTATGTGAAGGAACAAAGCTGCAGTGACATCTATGGTGCAACATGGGCGAGTGTTGACAGACACACCTTGGGTTTATTATCTTTTTGATTTTGGGTTAATTTCTGCCAACTTCTCCATGACCCACACATTCAGACATGCAGCTCCAGATGGAGTAGGGACCCACAGTTTAAGAAGGATTCCTCCAAGCACCACCAGCATTAAAATGACACTTGCATCTCGCTAGATGTGACTGCATCATGTTAGAAGTGAGTCATTGATGGTTCGGAGAACACAGGAAGGGTGGGTGGATTATAAGCAAACCCTACATCCTTGCATACAAGGGATGTGAGCTTCCACAGATTTGGGCATTGGATAGGGGTCCGGGAACCAATTTCCCAAATACATCAAGGATGACGGTATTTAATAACAGACAGCCTTCTTGCCGGAACAGGAAGTGGCTGTCTACCAGAAGTCCTCAAGGCTAATCAGGCCCATCTATGGCCACGTCTTGGTAGAACTCCTCATTGGGGCTGTGTCTCGACTGGACAGTGCTACCCTGTGCTCCCTGCACATTTGCTGGCCTGATACCCAAACCTATGTTTATAAGGCCTCCAAGTACAACAGAAGCACCTGGACTGCAGTGTCTCCTGTGGTGGCCCCGCACTCCGCTACTTGATGATTTTCCTCCCATGTGATGCAGGCTGGGAGGTCCCATCAGGACTAACTACGCACCAATGGGCATAATGGCTGGGTGCAGCTGGTAGGATGGGGAGCTGGAAGGAGGAACATTTCCCGAGTGGAGCTTTGGAGAAAGTGAGGAGTGTGTGTGTGTGTGTGTGTGTGTGTGTGTGTGTGTGTGTGTGTGTGTGTGCCCGTCCTCGGCCCTGTCAGACCTAAAGCCAGTGTCCCTGAACCTTTCCAGAAAGCAATACATCCTCTGCCAGTCAAAGCTGGCTTTCTGTCACTTACAAGACAGGTTTGTTCAACTCTACCACTCACTTATTCCGCATCTGGGCATGAGTGGGACGGCATCAGTAAACAGGGGAGGCAGATGCTTTTTTGTAGGTAGAAAGCACCCATCCATGGTCCACCGTGGTCCGGAGGATCACTACCCCATGCACACACACGGGAGTGGGAACTGTCACAGTGACCCAAGCCGTATCAACAAGGACCTCATGCATGGATGTCTGCCCTCTCTGGCTTCATCCTCAGGCTCCATGCTGACTCCTCGCTCACTCTCTTCAGCTTCTGACCATCTTCTGTGCCAGGCTGGCTAATTGTGATGGGAACTAATTGTGTCCTACGTTTGTATTGAAGTTTGGTCAACTGTACATGAATCTGAAAGACCTCGGCATCAAAGCGCCGGGCACTGAACCGAACCCTCTGCCCAAGAATCGGGGCCAGACCACTGGCTGCAAATGCAAGAGGTGACTTATTGAGTACACAGGCGCCTGCGGATGCTACTGCAACTCGGGTGCAGAGCATACCGGGCTTGTAGGGAGTACAATATTTATAGAGTTTTAATGGTTACATAAGTAACAGGCATTTCATTGGCTCATCTTGGGGACAGGGGTAGTTCCCACGGAGTAAGTTTCCTGGTATTACTTTATGAAAGACCCTGGCTCGCTTTAGCAATTATTATCCAGGTACCATGACTACTATGGTGATCATAGACACAACTGGGGGCAAGGGTAGTTGCCAAGGACTAGGTTTCTAGTATTGTCATATGAAAGTTCCCAGCACGCGTCAGCAATTATTATCCGGGTCCCATGACTGCTATAGTGATCACAGACATCCTGTTTTGAGGGTGAGACACCTGGTCTGGGTTTCTTTCATTAGGCAACAGCCTGGCCTTGTTTCTCTTTTCCTAGGGGGTCCTGGGTAGGGGTCTTTCAAATCAAAGGGGCATAGAAATGGGGGTGGGATGAGGGATTGCAGGGTTGAGCAGAGGGGGCTCGAGAAAGAAAATTTCCAGAAGAAAATTCTGGGAAGACTTCTGGAAACAGGGAGAGTAGATACCAAGAAGGCTGTAGATATCTGTGAAAATAGGCATGTTGACATCATGGCCTTTGTGCTGGTCACATTACCTGAGTCTCCTCTTGTCCACCTGGAGCAATGGTGGACACCAGGGTAGACTACAGTCCCAGACCCCAGAAACCTTTCTCATCCCCTGGGAGTTTTGTATTCATAACTTTTCGAGAAAGCCATGGCTTTGTCAGCCCTCTTGATAAGGACAGCCCCTAGTCCATCCTCTTCCCTCCAAACTCAGCCACGCCCACTTTCCTTTCTGTGATTCCAGGGAAAACCTTGGCTAAGGTTCAGGATCTGATAGAGTGACACCCGTTTGCCTGCCCCCTCCTAGGAGAGCAGAAAGTGTCCTGGCACACCCAAATGTTGGAGCAGGTGGCTCTATCGCGCTGGGGTGAAAGAGCATTGCTTCAGCAGAAGCCTTAGCATCTGCGGGTGGGATTAAAGAATGTCACCATGGTCATAGGGAAACGGCCCATTTAAAAATAATAGGGGACACAAGTATATTCTGGACACAAGAACATGTCTGTGTAAGACACAGGAAACACCCCTGTGGTTTATTTGGGGGTGGAGTGGTGCTGATGGAGGCCTGTATGAACGCCCATGCTGCTTGATAGGGATCGCCCCACACTGGAGCTGTGGGGCGGGCTCTGCAGCAGTCTTCTCTCCTTTTGTTCTTGGGGCATTCACCTGGAAGACCGATGCATAACAAAGGCAAAAGAAAAGAGTGACCTGACTTCTCCCCCTTGGCTCCTCAAGCTACCCCAGGAGGTTCCCTAAACAGGGACCCAATGATTTGTATGGTGCCCCCGCTGGCTCGCTTAGAGTTGCGATGGCCCAGCCCCTGTGGGATCCCTGTACTGGGGTTGCCAGGCCCAGGAGGTAGGGCCCAGTTAGAGGCCTAGCAGATGGCTCCCAGTACACGGCATCCTCCAGCCCTTCTGCAACAGGAGCAAAACAAGAGCACGCGCACCTGTCGGCGCCCCGCCCCCTCCGCGCAGGCCAGCCAATCATGAACCGGGGCGGGGCCGGGGCTCAGTCGGAACCCGCGCAGAGCGCGGTCGTGGAGCTGGAGCAAGCGCAGCCTGGTTCCTTCAACCTCGTCCCCGCCACCCGCAGCCTCCTCCCCGCCACCACCACCGCCGCCGCCGCCGCCGCCGCCGCCGCCGCCCCCGGGGCATGGCCTGTCTGATGGCCGCTTTCTCGGTCGGCACCGCCATGGTGAGTCGCACATCCTTTGCACTCGGGCCTGGGTTTTATCTTCTAGGGAAACAGGAAACACAAAGCCGGGCGCACTGGTCCTCACACCAGCCGCCTAGGAGCGCGTCCTCTGAGCGCTGACCTGAGGCGCCCTGGAGAGGTGCCCCGCTCTGCTCGCCTCCGCCCCGGCCACCTGGAGCCTCAGGATGCTTTTTGCACTGGCTTAGGGCGCCGGGGAGATGGAGCGACCCGGAATGGGGCTCGGGGCAGCTAGTAGCCTCGCAAGTGAACAGATGGCCTTGACTGTCCGCCTCTGGGCTCGGGGCTCGGGACTTGGGAGCGCACTGGGAAGAGACTTCGGGTCCAGCCCGAAGGAAGCCAGGGTCGGATATCCCTGGGGGGTTCTGCGGGGCAGGCGGGCGGCGGGGACTTCTTGTGTCACCCTCCGGAGCTCTGGACATAGTGGGGGACCAAAAAAAAAACCCCGAAGCTGTGCCCCCACGAAACGGAGCCTGTTCTCCCGCGCTCACCAGGGACAGCTACTCTCGGAGGAGGTGCCAGAGTCCCAGGGGAGACAGAGGTGGGTGAGCCCAGATCCCTGCAGAGGTGAGGACCGGGTGTGGGCATTTACTCCCCCACCCCCACCCCAGGTACCAGTCTTAGGGCAAAAACCGGGCGCTTCTGAATTAATTGCTAGACAAGCGCTGTTTCCAGAGGTGGCCAAGCGTCTCCTCTTACGTGGTCCCTCAGTGCACCCAGAAAAAAAAAAAAAAAGCGAACATACAACAAAACCACAGCCCACCGCCCGTCTGGTCTCACACTTGGCCCTGCTGGCTCCGCCTAACCCGCGGACATTGCGGATAATGTGCTCTTAAGCTGATTTCAGACTGTGTGAAGTACAAACAGCAAACCCTCCGTATTCCCACCCGGATCGTCCCTTTCTCTGCCTCCTAGCTCTGTTACTAGCCTGCCTGCTCCTTCCCATACGCTGGAAGCCCACATTGCACAGTCCCTCCCCTTTATTTCATTTTTAGCATCCTGTATTTGAAGTCAGCAGGGCTCAGTAGGATTTGACCGACAGTTACCTCTTGCCTTGAGCTCTAGAGGGAAAAAAAAAGCACTAGGCTTTGTGCGCATGCTCTGCTCTGACAACTGCATCCTATGATTCCAAACAGGTTACTGTAGAACTCGCCTCGAGCCCAGCCCGCCGACTCATTATGTAATGATTTTGTGTAAACCGACAGAGTGGAGCGAAGATGCACTGGAGTGGTGGTTAGCAGGGCGTGGGGTGAGGCGGGCGGGAAGACCCCCCAGCTGATTCTCGTCCTTGGGGTATGCTCTGGTTCCCACACGTCAGAGCCAATGGAAACAGGAATCGCTTCTCCTCAAGATAATTTGCTTTTATCTAGCTGATTGCTTGAGTAACACTGAAAAATTGTCCCTTGCACACTTATCTATCATTGTGAGGATTATGCTGGCAACGGAAAATTAAAGATAATTGATGATCATAGCAAATGGTGGAAGTTTGGTGGGTTCTCTCTGCTCGGGACATGCTGTCATTTAGAACTGGCTTGACCATGTGGATAAATGAGCCAGAATGCTGTAGGGTACACATTTTATGCTAATTTACAACATTATGGTTTGATACAGCCTGAACCTGTGCTGTGAGGTTACAGATAACATAATGGCTTGGGCATATTTTTTTATTATTATTCCCCAGGAAACCTATTGATGCATTTGAAGAGAATTTTCTTCCTGGAAAGTTGGCACTTTTGTTTTAATTTAAAAATATCTATCTGTCTGTGATCATACCACTCTGGGTCTAGTGATCTTGTCTGATCTTGGACGCCTAACTCTTGTGTCTCCAGATGCCCAGCATCCCTGCAGCCCTCACTGGACACTCTACCACTGTGCCAAGGAAACACTCTCTTCAACAGCCCCCAGCAGTGGTTACAACAGGCTCCCCTCTGCACAAAGTCCCCAGGAACGGACTTCCTGCCTTCACCATCTGTTCTGTCAGCAAAACACATTCCATGAGGAGAGGGCAGAGTCCAGGCAGGAAAGGCAGGGAAGCAGACCAGCCGATGGGGAGAGCGGGAGGGAATAGGTGTTTGTTTTATTTTTAATGAGCTCAGGAGGCCGAGGCAGGGCTCCGCTGTAACCTACATCGCTGACTAGCTCTCTTCGGAGGACCTGTTTCCAGAGAGCTGGTCTATTTTGGAGTGACAGGCCACTGCCTCATCACATAGGTTTTCATGATTTTATTAATTGGGTGAGGCCACTGGACACCAGTGGAGAAAGGGTGGGGGTGCTGTCCTTGTTGAGGGGGACGGGCAGGGATGGTGCCTGAGTTCCTGTTTGCTGGGCAGGTTACTCTAAAGGATTATTGTGCTGTATGCCGTGAGCAGTACTCAAATGGCTGGGAGAAAGAAGGCCAGCTCAGACTTGGACGTCTCAGGGAGCTGGACCCCTCCTGACTGAGGGGTCCTGAGTCAGATTGGTGGGTAACCTCGCTGCTTTCCTGGCCCCTTCCAAACTGGAGTTGGGTAGCCTCCCTCCCACCCACCCCCACCGCTCCCCCCCACCTCGGGCTGTGCAAAAGCAAAGAGTGCAGGCTGGAGTGAACTAAGCATGCTGAGTCTTAGTCACTGGTGTTTACAGCCACTTACTTAGCAAGCGCATGCACGTGGTTTTATTCTTGCACACTTCCCATCCTCAGTAGCTGACTCTGCTCAGTTTAGTCACCCAGCTCGGTCTGCTGGCTGGTGTAATGGGCTCCAACCCCGTTACCACCTGCTGATTAAGCTCTCCCATCCCTAGCTCTGCAGGCGATTGCTGCAGTCTTCCGAGCCTGGAGCTCCAGGCTTGGGGTCCCTCTCCTGGTCCCCACTGATCTTCATGATCTCTTTCTAAAGTTTGCCTCTCTCATCCCGTCTATGCCAGGTACCCCGCTTCCATCCCTCCTCTCCTACCCTGCACCCCAACCCACATTCAGTCTGATTCTACTGTAGGTTCAGGTCTCCGTATTCCATACTGGCTGTTCACAGAGGCCCCCTACATGGAGCGTGGGACACAAAGCCCTGTTCTCCCCGTGCGGGGGGGGGGGGCTCCTCCCCGTGTCATCTCACTAATCTCAGCCTGGACTGTTTCTGCAGACAGACTTTGTTCTGGGCCCCCACCCCAGGGGTCTGGTCTGCATCCATGACCCTTTCTTAATCCTGTTGTGACAGCTGCTTTCTCCACTGGCCTCAGCCTTGAACTTGAGCTTGCTAGGGCCAGAGTCCACTTTTGTGTCTGACTAGATGACTGACTTTATCTGGTGTCCAGTCTGCAAGGGAATGAATGTGTGCATAGATAGGTTTGGAGTCTGGGGATGCCTGGCTGATATCTGCCACAACCAGAGGGTGGGGTGGTGACTGTGAGGCCCCTTGTTCCTGCGGGGTTTCAACAGGGAAGGAGGCAATCTCTTCTTGGCTCCCTTGGGGTTGGACACCTATGTTGGGGGCCTGTGAAGGGGAGGAGGGATTACCCACAGCAGGTGGGGCCTGAGGGGTAGAGCTCAAGGGGCCGTGATGGAGAAAGGCTACCCACCTCTCTCAGGGTTGGAGCCAAGCTTGTGGCACTTCCCCTTCATGGCAGAGTGGGGTGGGAGGGACCTGGCTTCAGCTGACTGCCTTGTTGCTTCCCCATATGACATCCCCCCCCCCCCCCCCCCGCCTCCTGAAGCCAGCCCCTTGTGCCTCCCAGGCTCCCTCCGTAGCCCTTGTGGTTTTGAACCTGCCACGGCAGTTATAGCCACAAAGGACAGTGGGTGGGTCCTGGGAAGGTCCCTGTGCCCGCTGGGGAGGTTCTGAGTTACATGGGTGCATTCCTACAGGACCACTGGGCTATGACAGAGTGACCCTAACCCCTCCAAGAGGCCTTTCAGGGCAGGCACCTGATGAGTGCACATTGAGGCTGTGGGGGGGGTGGGGAGCAGCTCTCCATTGGGCTGTGTGGGTCTCAGCACTGGCATAGTTCTGGGCCCGTATGAACCCACTTAGAGCATCCTTGCTTCGTGCCTGCTGGCCCAGGCTAGACTTCAACAATACCCTGTGTACCTTCGTTTTCATTGAGTCGGGAGGCGTGTCCATGAGAATTAGGGATGCTCGTGAAGGTGGGTGGGCGTTCGTGGTTCACACATCGCTTTCTTAAGTGCAAGCTCCTTTTTCCTTCACTAGGAGATTCCGAATCCCCGGTCTACATTTCCCATGTCCCATTTGTGTTAAGTATCCCCAAGTCGCCCTCCCCCCCAGCTTACTGCTCGGCTCTGAACCCCCAAATGCCACACTGGTAGTAAACCCAGCTCTTCTATGATCAGTTGCACATTCTAGGTGGGTGAGTGGGTGGGTGGGAGGGAGGCTTGAATTGCTGGGCTTGTAGGGATTTTTGTTGTTGGGTTGCTTTTCCTTGAGGTAGAGTTCTTGTGTAGTCAGGCTGGCCTCAAACTCACTGTGCAGCTGAGGATGAGTTTGAACTTCCAACCCTCCTTCCTCCACTTCCCAAGTGCCAGAGTTCGAGGGTACTTGGGGAGAAACCCAGGGATTTGTGCATGCTAGGCAAGCATATCCAACCAACTGAGTCACCTCCCCAGCCCTTTATGAGACTTTCTGTGGATAATCCGCTATAGTTGTATTTTATTTTTTTAAGAAATAACAATAACTAATAAGCAATATTAGAGAAAGTTAATAAGCCAAAAGCAGAAGATGGCATATGTGTCCTCTCTAGAACAGAGGACAACAGCAATTCCTCACCAGTCCTGGAATATTCTGTAGCCTTGGGGACCAGAAGTGGTTAGGGGTGGGCTTCCCCCCCCCCAGGTTATCTGCAACTGGCTGAGCCTGCAGAAAGCCCATGCTTTTGGGTGTTTCCCCAAGCTTCAGGAGACAGCTAGAAACACTTTAGTACAACTTGTCCCCTTAGGGCTCTGCTGTGTTTGGAGGTTCCTGAAGCTTATTGATCAGGCCAGGGCTGCCAAGCCATTAGAAAAGCAAACCCCTTGCTTTGCATAAATACTCCTGGGTCTTGGCCCACCCGCTGTGTGCATTTGGTTTCTTGTGGAAGGCTTTAAAGCTAAAGCTATGCCTATAATATAGCGCTGCAGCACTTGTCTGTAGCCCTACCTACACTGGCGATGGGCTGCCTTTGCAATATAGGCAGCACCGCACTGTGTTTTAAGTAGTCTGTGCCTCAGTTTCCTTGCCTGTGCAACAGAGACATATACAAACTACTCCAACCCTCTAATGTTATTAGGAAGATACAATGGTGGGAAGTTACAAGGGATCTAGAAGATGCGACAGTAAAATATGACCAGCCCCCACAGGGCTTTAGCAATGCTGCCCTAGCCACACGTCAAGAGATGATGACTTGGGAACACGTGACAACAGTGTACTTTAAATAAGCCATTTCCAGTTGTACCTTCTTTGGAGCCTCGTGTGTCTTCGCTGAGGTTTTTATGAGTAGACCAGAAAGAGATCACTTTCCATGGTGGCTCATCCCTTCTTTATAGAGGAAAGCGAGTCACTTACTAAAGTTTTATGATCAGATTTTGTGATTCTGAAGGAAGACTGTAGGTGTGTTTGGCATCCTATCTTTGGTGTCTTTTTATGAGAAGCAAAAGAGATGGTTGGTTAGCTGGGACAATTCCCGCAGGTGGCCTCTCTCTCCTCTGGGGACAAAGGCACTCTCAAAGTCTAAAAACTATCTCTATGGATAACCGATGACCCTGAGCCCAGCGGCAAGTCCCTTGAAGTTCTCTGTCTCCGAGGAGCACGTAACACATCTTATCGCCGCCTCCGCTTTGCCTTCTAGAATGCCAGCAGCTACTCTGCAGCCATGACGGAGCCCAAGTCCGTGTGCGTGTCGGTGGACGAGGTCGTGTCCAGCAACGTGGATGACGTTGAGACAGACCTGCTGAATGGGCACCTGAAGAAGGTGGACAACAACTTCACAGAGGCCCAGCGCTTTTCCTCGTTGCCTCGGAGGGCAGCTGTGAACATTGAATTCAAGGACCTTTCCTACTCCGTTCCTGAGGGGCCCTGGTGGAGGAAGAAAGGTAGGGAGTGAAACCACCAGCTTGGTGGTAGTTGTGCTTGGGGGAGCCTGCGAGGGTGGCCACATGGTGTTTGGGGGAATCTTGGTCTGTAGGTGGACGGCTGATACACGTTCTCTTCCGACGCAGCCCTGCCTTGGCTAATTTCCTTCCGCTGATCCACAGCTGACTTCTCTCCTGTGAAAATACATGGGTTGCATTAGACAGTCTCAAAGTCACAGTGGCTCTAAACTTTGGTGCTGTTGGTACAGATCCAGTGTCCCTTGTTGAAAATGCTCAGGACCAGAAGTGCTTCTAGCTACATATATATTTTGGATTTGGGGAATATGTACATAGCCATAATGAGGTACCTTGGAGACAGGACCCAAACATAACCATGACATACATCTGTTTCTTGGACAACTTATGATATATACACCCAAAGGTAGTTTTATGCATTTGTCTCATATATCTGTGTTCTGATGGTGACTTGTCACATGCAGTCACATGGAAATTTCCACTGGCAATGCTCAGAAAAATGAGTGTTTATGCAGTTGGATTTCCTGTAATGGGGCCTGGATAAAGATTAGCATGGTGCTCACCCAGCATCAGTGATTATGCTCTGAGGGTCCTTCCTGGAGGACACTCAGCTTATGTCTGTCTTTCAAGGTGGAATTGTTCGCCAGCCATTCAGAGAAAGTGTGTGTTGCCTCCCAAGTCTCAGTTGTTCAGGAGCATTCCAGGGTCTGCCATGACCTTCCTGGGAACCAACTGTCTTTGAGACCCTGGGAGGATTCCTCAGTGTGTGTTGCTGGTGGTGTATAGGGAAAAACCAGCCCTTCATAAACTGAGCTGTGCCATTAAAATGGGAGGACGGAGCACGGGAGGCCGCTGGAGCACCATCGGATGAGGGACCTGTCACGTGCTGAAGGGGCTTGGGACTAACAGTCCCAGTTGCTCAGCCACCTCCCCTAGTTCTTTGCTTGCTGAGGTTTGAATGCACACGCCTTTCTGGGTGGATCTTGGTTCCCAGTCTAGTCTGCTCTTTGTTGAAGTAGGGTGGCTGCAGAACAGACCAGGCGGTTCCTGCCGTCTACTGAATCACCGTGTGCAAATCGGAAATCAGAAAGGAACTTGGGAAGTCCAAAGTAGTGAACCAGGTGCCACCAGAAGACCGATTTTGGGGGGCACAGGGGGACTCTTAACTTAGATATTGGCACAACCTTTCTTTCGAAGAGGACTAAGTTAGAGCCTCTGTGGTTTTCATCTTCTCTCCCTCTCTTCCCTTTGTTCTGTTTTTCTGCCTCCTGAAGCTAAGCCTGTGAGATTATGTGCAGGGCAGTCTGGTCTTGGTGGTAAACAAAATTTTGGAAACTTGAGAAGCCAATCCCCCGGACTGCTGAGCTCGTCGGTGGTTGTGAAGATTATGTTTGGGTTTGCACAGCCAGGCCACAAGCCCTGTCCCCTCTCAAGGGCTGATTGTAAGGCACTGCTACCTGATACTCACATTTCCAGATACCAGCCTGCCTTGTTAAGAAGGAAATTACGCCCAGCTCAGCCATAGGCCCATTCTGTGGAGCCTGTTAGAATGGCAAGATGGAGATAAACAGGCTTTACAGAAAAATGTACCAAGTGGGCCTTGCTGGTTAGTGTGGGTAAATCATGGCAGACCTGTGAAGCACACAGAGATCTCTGCACGTGTATCGTGTGTGGCCTTGGAGGTGTTGTCATGGGTTTTGAAAACCCATGCTGTAGGTGAAGGTAGTTTGCCATGTGGGGTTCGGATGTTTGAAGCCTGTGTGCGTGTCACATTTTTCACTTGTTATAACAAAATACCTGACAGAAGACCTTAGGAAAGAAGGATCTGTTTGGACTCACAGGTCCAGGGTACAGCCCGTTGTGACCGAAGAGTCATGGCAGCAGGAGCCTGAAGCAGCTGGTCAGTTGTATCCAGTCAGGAAGCAGAGAGAGATGAGCACCGGAGCGCGGCTCTCTTTCTCCTTTTTGTGAAGCCCAGGACCCCAGCCCTTGGAACGGTGCTGTGATCACCTTTCGGGTGGGTCTCCCCACTTCTGTTAACATAATACAGGTAATCCCTGACTCACGGAAGTGCCCAGACACTTGTTGCCATGGCTGTTCTAAACCCTGTCAGGCTGGCATTCGATGAGCCACCACCGCATCTTGAGTTGAAACACAGCACGCACAACTTGGCCCAGGAGTGGGGGCCCTCCAGGTGCTGCGTCTGTCTCATGTCCTCAGGTAGTAAACAGGTTACCGTCACCATCAGTCAGCCGACAAGAGTCCATTCTCTGTGCCTTCATGGACGTTCAGCCAGGTGGCCACTTGCCCTGTAGTAACCTCTGTGGGTTCCGGGATGGGAGGAGTTGAACTCGAACCCTGCGGGACTTGCCCATGAGTCAGAGGGGATGACAGGATATGCTCAGTCTGGTGTGTCCCTGTTGTTGTTTTCTCAGCCGGCGAGGTGTGGCTTGCTGACCCCTTCCACAGCTCTCCTTTTCCTCCTCTGCAGGGGCATTTCTGAGGTGCCCTCACCACTGTGTGCCTTGTCCTTCCCTCGTCGCCAGACCTACAGCTCAGAATCTGTATGCGTTACCATGCCAGTGTGAAGTAAAACTTAGTGCCCACTTTCTTCTCACTGAATACGGGGGTACCTACGGCAGAGTGGTGAAGGGGCTTGGCCATACCCCTGCGTAGAGAGATGTGGTCCTGAGACCACAGTGGCGATCGCTAACTCTGTCAAGTTCAACATGGTGCCAGGCCTGCCTAGTTCTGAACCATGTGGATCATCTTCATGTAGCCAGCAAGGAAATGGGGCTCTTCCTGGAGGCTGGGGTGCTCTGGGAATAGTCCCTTAGGCTGCAGGAAGGAAGCCCAGTCCGTCATTTGTCCCATCATCTGTGAGTGGCGTGCGCTGCAGACACCCTGATAACTTCTCTCTTAGCACCAGTTGGTTCTTCACTGCTACATGCTGGTGACTCTGAACCCAGGGGTCCAGTTTCCTCAACTCGGAACCACCACAGTAGCAGGCAGTCAATGAAGTGTACCCGGGACCAGGCATCAGGCTGACTGACATGCTCCCTACACCTCTGGATTCCTTACGCTTTTCCCACATGACTCCCCACCACCACCTCTGCTCCTGAATGACCACACAGTCTGCTTCCTCTGTGCCCGTGTGTGCCCTTTGCTGTTTTGTCCCTCCGGTGGCTGGTGACCCTCACAGGCTCCAGCAGTAACTGGAGGCTGTGAGGTCATTTCCTGGCTACTCTTCCCATTTCTCCTCCATCATAGTGATTCTGGATCTGCCCTCCGCTCCGTGTGGCTCCAAGGTGACCTTCGGAGCTGAAGCCGCTTCTGACATGCTGCCTGCCGCTGCCTGATTAGTTTTGCTGTCTGTATATCAAGCCGATTGGTTGTCGGCTTTCACAATTCACCCTGATGTGCTGGGCTGACTGTACCTCTGGGGCAGGCTGCCACAGCAAGGCTGGAGGGATGACTCCCGGCTTGTAGGAATGAGGAGCTCTGAGAGCAGCCAGCAGCCTGCCAGATTTATAGATTGGTAGAGGTGACAGGAACCCAGGGGCAGAGGCTGTTTGTCCAAAGTCAAAGCCAGGGAGGGGATCCAGTTCTCTTCCATTACCCAGACAGATGCTGAACCACTCTGCAGACCCCGTGGAAACCACTTCCTCCGAAGATTTCTCCCTGAACGTGGTGCTACCTCACTGGGCCTTCTGAAGACAATAACACTATGAATACACTGTCCTCCTAAAGAAAGCAGGCAGAGTGATGTGAAATTTGTTCTGCTGGGAGGAAGGGGATTTGGGCAGGGACGGTATCCGTTGCTTTTGGGGTCACTCTGGCTCACGTCTAGAAGCTTGACGGACTGCTAAGCACTGACGGGGGTGCTTAAGCAAACGTGTGTTTTCAATTGTACTCACATTTTCATCTTAAGAATTAATGATGTCTTTGGAGGAAAAACTAGATCATGTAATAGATTCCTGGTAGGGAACATAATTGTGAAAGGAGTCAGTCTCGGGAGTACGCAGCACCCCAAGGAGCACCTCACCGGCTTCTGGTCTGGTAATTACCCTCCCTCAAGGAACCCACTCACGTAGTGTGTGAGCTGATGGGACAAATGACTTGGAACAAGCTCTCCTTTGATTCCGTCACGCTGGCTGTTGTGGTAGGGGACTGATGGGAGCCGTCACTCCTCAGGCCAGAGTGACTCTGGAAGACAGCCTGGGCCAAGAAACCCCCAAAGAGAACACACATGGCAAAACTGAGAAGATAAGAGTGATGGAGGCCCATGCCCCCCACACAGTGGTCTCTCTTTCATTAGGATGGGATTGGCTAATGTCACAGGGGGAGTGGCTGGAGTGCCCTGCAGACTGTCCCCTCTGGCAACCTAGCATATGGCTGTAGGAGGGAACTTCTCAGCTTGCTCGACTCATGAGGCTGGTTCAGGAGGGGTTCTGACCCCTCTACCCATCTCAAGGTCACGACAGTAGGAAAGACCAACCTGAAGCCGTGCCTGTGGGATTTCAAACTATGATTGGCTACCTGCAAGCAGCCTCATGAGTATCACCCCCGAGGAGGGATTCACCCTGGACAACTGCAGTACAGATGATGTTATCAGTGGCTGCCTTGGTTCCTATCTCATGGGCCTGCTTAGATTAATAAAGCTATCCGGATGGCTTTTCAAGTCCACCTTCCTCTGGCGAGATGCGCCTGTCCTGTGTCCTCGTCGGTGAAGGGAGCTGATGGCAGGGAATGGGCTCTCCCCAGCACATGACTGGCTCTTAGGAATTAAATACACCTGCACAGCTCACCTGGCAGAGTTTAGGTTGTGAAGAAACCCAATCACACCTGGGGCTTAAGCACATTTTCTTTAATGTCCGAACTTCAGCCAGTCCAGGCCATGTCTGCACATGCCGCACTCCGTGGACAGAGTAGAATACACCACAGTCTGTGCTGCAGCTGAGTCCTCCAGTTTCAACCCTGGGGGA